AAAAAAAAAAAAAAAAAAAAAGACTGAATGAACACTGAAATAAAAACACAAAGTCAGATACAAAACTGCTTAGTCAGCCGTGAGCTACAAGGCGATACACTGGGCAGAAAGCACTTGCAACCTATCAGCCTGCACAAGGTAGCATCTAACTGAACAGCATCTGGACTCCTAAGTTTTCCTAACACTTTCATAAGTTTTTCTAACAGTTCTACCTCTGACTCTCCCTGTCTCTCTTCACACTGTCATCTTTCTCGAAGTCTTTGAAATCTGTCAATCCATCCCACCGTATCTCTGATTTCTGTCCCTCTCCCTTCCTGTCTGCCTCTTGAGTCTGGATATCTGCACTTCTTGTCTCTGAACCCATTCTGCGTTTCCCTCTTTGTGTCTCTTTCAGCTACATCCCTTTCTGATCTGCCTCTCTCTTGCTAACTGTTCTGACACCTGTTTCCCCAGAACCCTCTGATCCACTCAGCCCTCTTATAACTTGGGCCCGTATGTCTACATTTGTTCACTCATTTTCACTGTCTCTGCTCGTGTCGAGTCTCTGGCCCTCCCAGTCTGTGGGTCTATATCTGTCTCTCTCTCTCTCTCTCTCTCTCTGTCTCTCTCTCTCCCTTCCTCCCTCTCCTCTCTGTCCTTCGTTTCTCCTTGCCCTTGGCTCTCTGGTCTGTTTCTGTCTTTCTTCGCTGTTTCTATCGATCGGCATCTCTGCCCCAGTATCCCTCCCCACCTCCTCATCCCACATGCCCCATTGCTTTTCCAACATGCCCCCTTGCATGCCCGCCGCATCTCTGGGTTGCCCAGACGATGTCGGGTCCCTGGGTTGCCATGGAGACGTTCAGAACCCGCCCTTCACCCAAGATCACACAGGAACGTCACCGCGCCACGCGCGCATCTACACGCGAAGGACCCTGCCGACTACATCTCCTGGAAAGTATGGGTCCAAGCCTTTCTCCATTTTGTGTTCTAGGAAGTAGCAGAGGAGGAGGAGGCCCCTTCCTGCAGGGCGTTGCCATGGAGACGTGGGGAGACAGAGTTCTAATGAGGGCCGTGATTGGTGCAGAACCCTGCTAATCTCAGGAAGGACCGTAGAGAATTGAGGAAAACGTGGTGGGGGACATGCGCAATCTGGAAGGCGGTACTGCCGTCTGTGTCCCCGAGAAGCTTGCACACGTCAACGGATTCGAGGAGGGGAGCATGGGGAGAAGCGGCCAGGAGTGTGACCTGATCATTGCGACCACCGCTACCCCCAGGGAACGGGAGGAGAGGGTGTAGAAACGGAGGCGAGGGTGGGGGAAGGGCAAGGAGGCGCTTGAGCTGGTGCGCGGAGCATCCTGGGAGACGTAGTCCAGCGGGGAGGGGGAAGTCGAAGACTGCGCGTGCTCAGGAGCGCGGAGCGGCCAGCTGAGCGCAGAGGTGAGGGCGGGGTCCTCTCAACCGGGAGGGCTAGGGTGGGGACCGGGGCTGTGGCTGCAGACTCAGGGATTTCGGCTGCCCCGCGAGACCGGGAGCGGGGGAAGGAATCCGGGCACTCCCTGCGGGGGAGCCCAGGGCCTGAGCGCGAGGCTTATCAATCACTCCTCGTTGCCACGACGACAGGTTTTGGGAGCCCCGCCCCCGGTTGCCTAGGCGTCTCCAGGACGTACCTTGGCACCCTGGAGCGGAAGTTGCCGCCTGGACTTCTGGGAAGTGTATTTCGGGACCATCCCTAGATACCTGCCGTTTTGGCTAAGACCCAAGTTTCTGCCAGGGTTTCTGGTTCACTTGGCACATTGAAGAGTAGAAGCTTAGCCCCCAGAATCAGGCGGCCCTCGAAATCGATGCTACCCACGGGGGGAATGATTCTGCGGCGCCATCCCATTCATAAACGCAGATACCTTCACAAAGCCCCAGCTGCAGAAGGAGCAGCTTGAGCAGGAAGGTCAGCCCCACTTGCAAATGGGGAAACAAGTTCACAAAGGCACAGTGACCTGAAAATGGGTGGAATCAGAATCTCGGGACTTCCTTGCAGGCTCCTGTTCCAGTGGTCTTGGCGCCTTTGTGGCCTCCCACCCCCACCCCTTGCGAAGCTCCTCCATCCCCTTCCAACCCCACCTAAGTCAGGAAGCTAAGGAGATGGGCATTGCGTGGTGTGATAAATTGGGCTCAGAAGATGGGACTGAGTGGATAGAGGGGGGGTACCTGGGGGCTGAGCCACACGACTGCACAGGTTGAGATGGGGGATTAAGTGGAGCGAGGCTTCCCTCTGGGAGGGGAATGATGGTGGGCCCAAGTGAGGGGCCAAATCTAAGTAGACGAGCGAGTAGACCGTGAGGTAAGGGCTGGTGATGGGTGGGGGGGGAGAGGGCAGCAGTGATGCTGATGCCCAGGCTATAGGTGTATAGGTGTCATCCAGCTGGTAAAAGACAGCTTCAGGGCAGGAATGAGGTTGCACATATAGAAGAAAGGAAGTATATAGGGGAGAGAAGTGTCTTCTAAACCTGTGGGCCAGGATGGGAACAAACCTATGAGTCCCAGCACTTTCAGAGGTCAAGGCAAGAGGATCACCTGCTTAAGCCTAGGAGTTCAAGAACAGCCTGGGCAACATAGTAAGATCCCATCCCTACAAAAAAATTAAGAAATTAGCTGGACATCGTGGCACATCGCTGTTGTCTCAGCTATTTGGGAGGCTTAAGTGGGAGAATCTCTGGAACCTGGGAGGTCAAAGCCACAGTGACAATGATCTTGCCACTGCACTTCAGCCTGGGCAAAAGAGTGAGACCCTGTCAAAAAAAAAAAAAAAAAAAAGGCCTGTATTTGGAGCAGGAAGACTATCAGAGACTTTGCAAAGGCCTAAGTGGAGAGAAGACCAGGAATACAGGAGGCAAAGGGAGGGCTTTCAGCCACACAAGTCTGTGGGCTGTGACTGGCCTTTCTTTGCCTCAGTTTCCTCATCTGCCTTCCACATAGGGTAGGTCTGAGGATCAAACAGTATAGCACAGACTAGGTAGTGAAACTCACTGTCTACCCTTCTTGCAACAGCCTCATACTATTTCTTCACCAGGGGCAGACATTGGCCTCAGATACCTGACCTGGTACCCTCTATGAGGCCTGCGGTGCTGGGCTCCCCAGACCGAGCACCCCCAGAAGATGAGGGGCCTGTCATGGTGAAGCTGGAGGACTCTGAGGAGGAGGGTGAGGCTGCCCCATGGGACCCAGGCCCTGAAGCTGCACGCCTGCGCTTCCGGTGCTTCCGCTATGAGGAGGCCACAGGGCCCCAAGAGGCCCTGGCCCAGCTCCGAGAGCTGTGTCGCCAGTGGCTGCAGCCAGAGGTACGCTCCAAGGAGCAGATGCTGGAATTGTTGGTGCTGGAGCAGTTCTTGGGTGCACTGCCCCCTGAGATCCAGGCCCGTGTGCAGGGGCAGCAGCCAGGCAGCCCCGAGGAGGCTGCTGCCCTGGTAGATGGGCTGTGCCGGGAGCCGGGCGGACCTCGAAGATGGGTGAGTGAGTGACCATAAGTGTGGTTCAGGACTGGAGCATGGTCCAACTCTGCCTCACCCTGGGTGCCACCATGCTTGGCCAGACACACATCCTCCCTTGTGGTACAGAAGTGGCCACCTGCAACAGAGCCCTGTGCAAGTTTGCCCAGGGCGGAAGGATTCCAGGGCCAGCCTCCCAAGCCCATTCCTTCATCACCTGTAGTCACATGGACACAAGAGCTGCAGGCTAGGGGAAGATGGGGAAGGTACTGGAAGGCCTTGGGTGTCAGAAGCAGGAGAAGGACTGCAGGTGGTCCCTTCGTTCCTTGCTCGGGGTACAGGGAAGTTAGGTCCTTGGAGGACCTAGTCAGTAGGTATTTACAAGGCAGGCCTCTGGGATCCTACAGTGGGATGGGCACCCACATACCCCAGGTTAAGGCCAGCCCCACTCTCTGGTTGGACCTCTGATGGTGGGGGCACCTCCCCAGGTCACAGTCCAGGTGCAGGGCCTGGAGGTCCTATCAGAGAAGATGGAGCCCTCCAGTTTCCAGCCCCTACCTCAAACACAGCCGCAAACTCCAGAGTCTGAGCCTGAAACACCTCCTGGGACTATGAAGGAATCACCACTGGGCCTGCAGTTGAAAGAGGAGCCAGAGGTTACAGAGGACTCAGGTGAGGGCATGCAATACGGGCAGTGCCTAAGGTCTGGTTGAGTGGGCGGAGAGCCTGGCCTGAGCAATCAGTCAGAAGTTCGCTGGGCCAGGTTTGTTACAAATGGAATGGTTTCCATGTGCCAGCAGCCCCCACATTCTACCCAGTCAGGTCTCACCTCCAACCTAGCCAGTGCTGTCACTACCCCTCGCACTCCAAGCCTGACTGCCACAACCCTGTAACCACGACCCCCCGGGAATGGAGCAGGCTGTTGGGGTTTCCCAGTACAGACGGCACGTGGTTTTCAGTCCCCAAGGAGATCCATTAGGCAATATCTGCTTGTCACTGGAGAATAGACAGCAGGCCAAGGTACAGGTAGAAGCTGCTTAGCGAGAACCTTGCAGTGTTAGGGGTATGGCCCCCATTCAGCTCCCAGGCAGGGCACCTGAACTAGCTGCTCTCACCCTGCTTTTCCCATGCGGACCTTTGTATAATACCTCTGACCCCTGCTGTCCATCTCGTCCCACAGTTCACAGGGCTACAGGGGCATAGACCTAAGCCCATCTCATCCCACCGCAGCTCAGCCTCTGGTCTTCCAGGGTATTCTGCTTCACCCAGCCCCTAAGCTGGGCCCTCAGCTGCCCTGCACTGCCCTCCTCAACCCAAGCCCACAACCAGGAATCCCGCCTACCTGAATGCCAAAACCTGGCATACCACTAAGGGCAGTGGGTGGAAGCTCACTCAGGCTCCCTGAAACTCGCTTAGGCTTTCGTCTCTAGATTTCCTGGAGTCTGGGCCGCTAGCTGCCACCCAGGAGTCTGTACCCACCCTCCTGCCTGAGGAGGCCCAGGTAAGTCCTGGCCAGGTCCATATTCTCCTCCTTTCTCTTGGAGTCACTGGGTGGGGTCAGGTAGGTCCCTCCCTGAGCCCAGCCAGGCACAGATGAGCAGTGACCACTGTGATTTCAGGGATGCGGGACGGTGCTGGACCAGGTCTTTCCCCACACCAAGACTGGGCCTGAGGGTCCCTCATGGAGGAAGCACCCCAGGGCCCTGTGGCATGAGGAAGCTGGGGGCATCTTCTCCCCAGGTAAGTGAGACGGGGTGTGGTAGGCCCTCCACATGGACAGCACTATCTCCGCCGACCCCGCTCCTGGCCCTACTCAGGCAGCCCTCTTCCTCCAGCATCCCCAAGTTGCCCCATTCCTTAGAGCATCCCCCATAAGCTTTAACCTACTCTAGCATCTTCTGCCCTTAAAAAAAGCCACCCACCACTGATCCCATAGCCCGCCTACTTTCTACTCCCACCTCAGTAAAACCTTTTACAAGTGAGGCCTGTAATTCCCCATACCCACATTCTCTCCCAGTCCTGGCATCCTAGATGGCCTCCTGGGCTTGCATCCTGCTGGTCAGACATCAGGACAGATGTTGGGTTGGGACCTGACAAGGACAGCAGGTTAGTGGACAGAGCAGGTGGACAAGAGGGACCCTGACACAGGATAGGGATCCTGCCCAATCATCCAGGCATTACAGGCCAGAGGCCCGCTGTCACCTACCTCTCAGCCACCACCTATGTCTGGCGTCATCCTGGCTCCCCCTACACCCCATCTTCTCTTCTGTTCCTTCCTGTTCTTCAGACCCAGGATCTCCTCTTTCTCAGTTCACACTCTTGTTTTGGTGGAGCTTTCTGGATGTTCTGGTGTGGGAGATAAAATTCTGAGATGTCCATATCTGAAAGACACTGTCTAAGCCTCAACATTAAAGTTTGGCTGGAAGAATTCTTTTTACTTATTCAGTCACAGACCTTTTTTATCATTATTGTTGGTGAGCCTTTTCAGTTTAAAATTCACATCTCTCAGTTCTGGGTAACTGCCTTGAAATGTTTATTTCCTTCCCTTCTATTGTTGTTCTATTCCCTGTTTCTGGGATGCCTGTTACTTGCCTGATGGCCTCTGGGATGGGTCCTTTAATGTTTTTTTCACTCCAAGTTTCCATCCCTTTGTCTTTCTACTCTATTTTCCAGGAAATTTTCTCACTTGTATGTTTCAGCCCTTCTGTTACAATTTTCATTTCTGGTAGTTTTTTTTTTTTTTTTTTTTTTT